CATCAACTTATCTGACCTTTTCTGCTTGACTCAGACATATACTAGTTATTGCAAATAAGGGAAACCATGGGACCTATGTTTCTTTGAATTAAATTAATTAGAATCCAAAAAAACCCATAGAATCAACAAAACAAAGAGTTGATTCTTCAAAAATATTAACAAAATAGACAGACCCTTAGCAAATCTTATCAGAAAAAGAAGAGAACACACCCAAATAAATGAACTCAGAGATGAGAATGGAAACATCACCACAGAAACAACCAAGATTCAGAACATTATAAGGGAATACTCCTCAAACCTTTATGCTAACAAGTTTGAGAACTTGGCAGAAATGGACCTTTTTCTAGTAATTTTTTTATTAAATTTGATTCATATTTTAACTGTATGCCACTTAACAGTTTTTGAGGCAATGAATAAGAGAGGAAATGTGTGAAAATGAAAATAGACCTATGGAATTTGTTTTTCTAGGCCTTTATTCTTGGGAGATCCTAACATTGAACTTGTAGAAAGAGGACAAATTTTACACCTGAAGAACACGCGAAGAAGTGACAAGGGGCGCTACCAATGTATTGTATCCAACGCAGCTGGCAAACAAGCCAAGGATATGAAGCTGACTGTTTACAGTATGTATGGCCTCCTTATGCTTTTGTTGTGATCACCTCTCAGTATAAGTTGATTAACACCTTTCAGAGCTTTAGACCACTTACTTCTCTTTCCTTTCTTATTGAATTCATTACATGCCACTGGCTTCAGGAGGAGCCTGCCTCTGTCTTCAAGTGATTTAGACTAGAACATGACATCCAGTTCCACTGTATATTTTATCATTAAATATGGACATCGTCAAGCAATGTATTGATTTTTATATGATCCCACTAATGAGATAACTACTTCCTAGCTGATTAGTACATACATAAGTCAAATATCTGTACCATTAGAAACCTAGGGGGGAAAAACTTTGAAAATTATACAAATGTATAAAAAACTGAAGTCCATGGTATACAAACAATTCAGTTGTTCTACATTCATTCCTTCTAGGCCATTATCTTAATTATGGGGACACACACACACACACACACATACACACACACACATACACACACACACAGGTACAGTGCCAGTACTAGGCCTCAGGCTTTCACAACACTTTATTTACAGATAGTGGTCTACCACTTGCAGCACAACTCCATTTTGGGCTTTTTTTTTAACTGCTAATTGGAGATAAGAGTCTCTCACATTTGTCTGCCTGGACTGACTTCAAACCATGATTTTCAGCTGTCAATCTCCTGAGTAGCTAGGATTACAAATGTAAGCCACTAGTACTGGGCAATACATGCATGCACATGTGTGCATACGTTTATTGTTATCTTCAAATAGTTCTACATGTAGGTACAACATGACCATTTATGTATATAAAAATCATATACACAACTTCATCATTCTTGTCTCCTCCCTATCTGCCTTTTCCCCCATCTGTCAATCAAATTTTCCTCATGTGGCAATATTTTAATTTTCATATATTGGTGCTTTTCTTTTTTGTTGTATTCCACCAGAACCGATACAGTCTTCATTTTCACTAAAATATTTAACATTCTCCAAACAAGGTGACATTCAAAGTCATTTTTTCATGAATAGAACCTTAAGTGGACAGATGAATATTAGCAGACATAAAAAATAATAGAGAAGCGTCTGGGAAGGTGGCTCAGTGGTAGAGCACTTGCCTTGCATGCCTGAGGCCCTGGGTTCGATTCCTCAGCACCACATAAGCAAAAAGAAAAAAGCCGGAAG